ATATATATATATATATATATATATATATATATATATATACCTCAACAAGTTGGTACTGGACGATCTGGTGATATTGCAGCAGCTGTGGTGATTAGACATCCTTACTGTGCCGATATTGAGAATGAGAGTCATTGGAAAACAATACGAATTTATCTGGGTCCTTGAAGATTATCTTGATGAGGGGACCGATGAATAGACCATTGGATTATGAGACCATTCTTAATTTTTCACCTGAGTTCGTATGCTGAGCGAGGCCGAACTCTTAGCTTGTTAAGGTCTTCCTAGCTCCCTGCTGAGGTGATATGCCAGGTAGATCGCTTTCAGTTCAGATTATTGATCCACAGTTTTTTTTCAAAAGCTGTCCCTGGTTCAAATTACGTTTTCAGTATCTGTTCGTTTGTCCATTTATTGTTTTATTTGGTACCTACACTAACCCGATTTAGAAACGTGGTAATTCTGTTGCGTCCATCGTGCATTTATGGGAGAGTGATGACACGATTGCTTCGCATATCAAATGCCTTGATTTAAAACCTCAGCAAGATCAAAAATGTGCAGATGAGCCCTGATTAGAAATGCTTCCACGTTCGAAGTGAGCTCACCAGAATGATTGCGCCAGGACAAATGGAGGTCTTACCAAGCCAGAGTGATGAAACATTCATTCTGTAACTCCCGAAGCCACTTTTGATTAACTGCTGAAGCGCAGTCTGATTTATTCTGGGACACGATTTAGGATGAATAAGCTAGATTCATCCATATTCACTGGGGGTTATTACGGCTACTGACGTGCAAATTTTTGAGACTCGACAATGATGGTTTCGAATATAACACCTCCCCATCTGGTATCGCTTCCAAAGTCCCCCCACAGTCTCGATAAAAAATAAGACTCATGCTTCGATTTTTTTTATTGTTTCGGACACAATCACTTGATCTGAATAGCCCAGCGAAAACAGAGGACGATTTTATTCTGGTTCAGAAGTTGCCACGCCATACCGCCATACTAACTAAAAGTTGGAATTCGAATTAGTTTTCAGAAACAGGTTTGGAACAGTATAGCTGTAATGTACTACCCATAAGGTTGCTGAAAATCCATCGACAGCCCACGACCGGTTTCGCCCTTATTGGGGCTCATCAGGTAGGCGCAGTCCCCGGGTTTCTGTCAACCTCATGTTCCAAGTTGGAATTCGAATTAGTTTTCAGAAACAGGTTTGGAACAGTATAGCTGTAATGTACTACCCATAAGGTTGCTGAAAATCCATCGACAGCCCACGACCAGTTTCGCCCTTATTGGGGCTCATCAGGTAGGCGCAGTCCCCGGGTTTCTGTCAACCTCATGTTCTACTTGAAACCAAATTGCACGAAATTAGCGAATATACACTCATCTGCCCCAAGAAGGGCGAAACCGGTCGTAGGCTGTCGATGGATTTTCAGCAACCTTATGAGTAGTACATTACAAATATATGTGTATCGCGATATTTCAAAGATCGTAGCGACTGAAACATGAGGCGGCCTGGTGCAGCACATTCAGCTGCCTGAGAACATCACAAATGAGAGATTCAACTGGGTTCCAGGTGGCTCTCTCGAAAGAACCAAATTAGTTTGCAAATGAGTGTATATTCACTAACTTCCACTGAGCTCTGTAGCAGATGGTTAGTTGGAGAACAGGTTACACCTGCAAAGGGAATTGGACAAAAGCAGTGTGCAAGACATCACAAATTTCCACCGCTGACTGACCCACTACCATGGTTTTGTGAATAGCACTTTCGCTGAGCCAACTGAGCATTTGAGAGCGACAGAATAGCAGAATACAGTTGCGTACCAGCGAACCTTTCACGGGAGACTCAAAACATTTCCAGCTGTATCTCTCTTTTGTGAGATTCTTCGTGGGTCATTGAACAAATTTCGCCAACCTCGTGATGAGTGTGCTTTTTCAGGGAACGGATTAGTTCTAGGATCTTCTATCCACAAGTGTTTCGTGGAAATCGAGACCTCGAACACGTGGGATTACTGTTTATGTCATCTAGGCCTCTCAAGATTGTACACACTACTTGCAATTCCTCACCACTGGTAGACTCTTCCGGTTCATAATCAATCGATTTTTACCAATAATCGCATTTGACGGAGGCAACTGATGCTGTGAATCCACCTTCCCAATATCTGAAGAGGAAGGTCCTCAATGAATGAATTTTGAGCCAGCCACGCTAAACAACAAAAAGTCTAGACTGTTTTGACTAAATTTATCTTTTTTGGGAAAAGAGGCATTCTCTACCTGGAAATATTCAACTGACTAAATGGTGCACTGATGAGAGGGTTGGGGTTCATCCGACTGGCACGTGAATACCATCGATCGATTCTTCCAGCGGCATCATTTGTGCTGGATTACACAGGCCAGTCGGAACTTTGGCCGCCAAGACATTACTGGACATAGCTCACATGCTCGTAGATCTCTCAGTCACTAGACGATCATTCACCCGCTGCAGTAAGAATAAATGAACCTGTTCATACATTCCATTGTTGAATAGCAGTATTCAATAACACGGGTGTGTCACATACACGCCTGAATGTGATAACGAATCCGAACCAGTAAACCTGATTCTTCCTAAGTAAGTCGCTTGAGTTTAGTTACCCGAATGCCCCTAAAAAATCAAACAGGTGCCTGAGGTTCACACTCACTTGGTTCAGATCATCGTAACAGTGCACTGAATATAGTTCCCCAGATGGCGCCCAAATGTCTGCAAATCAGATACGAACCTCGACAAAACCGGCAATAAGCAATGCGTCCACCAGGACTAAAAGCACTCATTGAGGTCACTACCCTATCCTCGAATCTGGGAGAAAATAGTAGAGTGTTTCCACTTGGGTTCCCTCCACAGAAAGTAAAAGCACACAGACGGCCACACAGTGCCACAACTGGACGACTTGCTATCCAGAGTTACTATTATATGTCAGCTTGTTGGACTGAGGGAAAATATCAACTCACTTTTTCATTCGGTAACGTGGATTCCACCTTGAAGTTGTAGTTTGAATTCAGCTTGAAACAGTTCTCTTCATCCGAATTACAAGCGACACCCCACTTGTCTTCTCGTTCCGGACTAGTTGACTTGGATGTCGAGTAGTATAAAAAGCGTGACTTCGGCTTCGTCATGTTTAATGCTGCATTGAAGGCGGACAAGTGGAGGGGGGCAGAAACTTAAGCATCAAACTACTGATAGGAAGTGAGTAGTCAAAGCTGAAGCTCACTTTACATATAAGGCATGATCAACATCGAATTGATTAATGATCGGCTCACTCATATAGGGAATGATCCAGCATCCGTGTACAAGATTAGGAGTCATTTACGACCTGTCAAGAAGTGTACCCATTATCAGCATTTATTTTTTCTTTGTTTTCAACAGTTGTTAACACTGGTTTATTAGTGGAGTAAACTCAAAATTTCACCATAAACTACGACAGCACAAAGCTAGTCAACCGAAGCACTATGACCACGTGAATTCTCGGCCAAGATGACCAGTGTGTCAGATCTGTTTCCCAAAGTCCGTACCACATTTTTGAAATAAATCAAAACTGACTGAATGTTTCAAAACCACGGCTGGGCTGATTTTGTAGTTTGTGACAATAAGGCTTGCGAAATTGTTGCAAATGTTGAAAACTGTGTGGATGCATTTTTTCAATGTACTATATATTATATATGCTACGTATACTACATATAGTGCGCAACTATTAAAAAAGTTTATCCTTGGGAAGAAAAGAACTCAGCTTCATCTGGTTCGAACTTGAGTTGCTGGGAGTTTTCACGTCGCCCAGTCCAAGTGCCTAACCCCTGAAAGAACGCATCGTGTCATAACAGCAAACCCGTAAAAATGACGTATAAGCTCTTTTGGGTGTGACCTCGTCCTTCCATCAATGGGAAACAAAACCCTGGCAATCGTCGTCAGGTTCTCCGCATTACGGAGACGTATATTCATCACATTCGAGACTTCTCCGTAGTTCGGAGGGAGCGCAAAGATTTGTCGCTCATTCAGTCAAGTGGTTTGAGTTGTGATGATATGAACTTACCACGGCTTAGTACGTCCACCTTTGCTACTTCGGGGCTTATCAAGTCCCATGTCTCAATCGTGATTGTTCAGGACGGTGGCACCGAGGAAATTAGCCAAATGGGTACTCTGAAGGTGGTTTAGTCAACAGAATTCTAAACACTCGGAGCGATCAGGAAAGTCTATTTCCGTCTGGCTCGGATCAAAAAGCCGCAATACCACAATCCATGAAATCGATGGTGTGAAAGTTTGCGTCGTTCTGTCCCAATTCTTAAAACACGAGCAAACCAGATCTACGAGCAGCGGTTATGTGCACCCAGCCTTCGTCAAGCATCTCACGCATGTCTGAGAAGATACCCAGACACAAAACAACACATGCCTTGCTTTAATAGAGCCAACGGTGTCGTGTGCCATCTTTCGATTATCTCCTGTTCTCTCTGGTTAGAACTACGAAAAGTCACTCCGGCGAAGCGAAGTGCATATTGATATGTTTTGTTTTTCGGCATTCATTGTGTACTGCTAGGAAAAGCGGAACCAGTGATCCGCGGTGCCTAGAATTCACCTCGCAGGACAGTCCCATTTGCGGTACTGGTTTCGTAGACAAAGGTGAGCATATGTGCCGAGGCTGAGTCTTTGTGAAAGCAACTTTAAATTGGAAAGGACTTACGTGAGGTAAACCTTATGGTTAGCTTGAGAGTACCACCTGCTCGTACGACGCACGGTTCCTGAGCACACCCATCGATGGTGACCGCTTCCACCGCATCCGTGGTTACGGAACCTGGAAGACAAAACAGTGTATTGCGATGGAACAACTGAGCAGTTTTGCCGCAATTTTTCAGTTTCTCACTGAGGACTCAGCAACACGGGTTGTTTTTGGACTGCCTACTGTGGGGCAAGACGTAATCTCAGATGTGAGTTTGGTAATCTTAAAGAAAAGACTATTCATGCGCAGCACAGAATTTGCCAAGGATCAACAATTCCGTCTAGAAATCAACTTAGATTAGGTTTAGGAATCCGTTCTCGTTGGCACAACTGTGCCACACTTGACTGCACCACTGAGATACAGTTGTTTGTCAGCCAACTAGCAGGAACGTCTGCGTAGACTGTAATCAGATGTGATAGTGGTTTCACTCCTCAAGGGGAACTACTTGAAGGACGCGAAAAAGTGGCTTTTCAGGGAAAATGGCTCCTCTGTAACCAGATAGATAGGATTGAATATATGTGTATAATCACAACGCTATGCAGTTTCTTATTCGGCAAGTTAACAGCCGTTATCCACTGTGGGGAGTGTCTAATATGTGTGATATAGATGCCTGCACACGCATTAAAGTTGGACGCTTGCGCAAATCAACAGGGTTATTTGGCTCATTCAGCTGATTTTACAACGGTCCTTTTCACTAGGTTCTTTAATTCTATCTATCGAAACTGCTTTGCTTACAATTCTGCCGCTGAGCCATCAAACCACCTGAGATGATTAGGAATCATCGTCGTGTACTCCCTCTCCCTATATTTGAAAATGACTGGTTCACTTCCATAGGCAGTTCGTGGATTGGACGGCAGAATGGTCACGTGGACTACTATTGGCTGCCTAGATAACTTATCGATCTAGAGTGAATATAACACGTCTGCAGCCAATCATAGACAAAACCTGGCTCGTGTACCAACTGAAAGACATGGCATTTAATTATGCCGATGAAGCTTGTTATTCCGTCTGTGTCACCACTAAGCAGTCATCCACTGTGAGAAATAGCTTGAGAAAGGCACCCATGGAACAGGAAGGATGCTTGAATTTGGTATCGTAGAGTACATCTATGTTTCAAACGTCAAAACGAGTGTCTAATGTAGAACACGGTCATTCGGGTGGGGGATATCCTGATCTTCGACAAGCAGCCAATCATAGACAAAACCTGGCTCGTGTACCAACTGAAAGACATGGCCTTTAATTATGCCGATGAAGCTTGCTATTCCGTCTGTGTCACCACTAAGCAGTCATCCACTGTGAGAAATAGCTTGAGAAAGACATCTATGGAGCAGAAAGGATGCTTGAATTTGGTACCGTAGAGTTTCAAACGTCAAAACAAAGTGTGTAATGTAGAACACGGTCATTCGGGTGGGGGATATCCTGATCTTCGACAATAAAGCATAAAAGTTCAACGTTGACACTTTACTGCAGTACAACCATAATCTGTTTGCAACACATGTACAAAACTTCTCCGTGGCAAAGCTTAGGCCCAGAAACATGTTTGCGGGAAACTTCTGCGAGAAAAACGGACTTGGTTCTTTCGAACTTTAAAATCCTGGCTTGTACTACTTGATTTGTTCTAACAACGAGTTCAGTGTCAATCTTAGGTCCACTATCAATAAGATGGGGTGTTAAAACGGGACCGTCTAAGTTGTGCCATTTTCCCCTAGTCACATGAACAGCTTATGCTTTGAAAATATCCATCGTTTGACTGAAGTAGCTGTTTTCATAGGAGTGGACATATTCATTCATTCATACTGAATTACTCTGATAAAGAATTTTAGCTTCCAGCTCCTAAATGATGGCTGCATAACTAGTGACGTGCATCACAAAACGTTCTGTCGGTAATCCACTAAACACATCGCGTTGGTAGAAGGAAGACAGAGATAAATCATTTCTGATTCTGACCGCTGTACCTTGGAAGTGTCGGCTTGAGCTGTTGCGCCAGAAATCCTTCTGGGCAGCAACTTTATCCAAAAAAACAATCTTGAAGGGCCAATTCTTCCGTCAAAGCGTTCTAACAATGCCCATTACTATGTCATACGGGCAGTGAACCTGATTCCACTTGACGTCAAGCAGAGTGAGCAAATGATTGAATGAATCGTTCAGCTTTAGCGTCGTTTCGGTGCCTAGGTCTCAGGCCATCCAAATAAGTCCCGGAAACTGAGGTAGTACCAGGACGTCCAAGCTTAGGCAAGAGCTTTTGAGACGCCGGAATTAGCTTTGCACCCTAACCGTCGAGCTATATTGAGGTCAAGCTTTAGGGAGAACGAACGTGTATACAGAACTACTTATGTCTTCAGAACTACTTACAGAAC